TTCATAGAAGACCCGGGGGTTAGCGCTAGGCAATATGTATGAAAGACCAAGAGGCGACTCTTGGCACAAAGCATGTTATTATGTAAGGTAGTAAGACCCGGGGGTTAGCTCTAGGCAATATGTATGAAAGACTAGGAGGTGGCTCTTGGCACATTGTATGATGATTAGCTAAGTAGAGTATTATGCATGCTAGTTGTCTTTGTGATGCTTGCATGGAAGACCAGAAGGTGGCTCTTGGCACTTGTTTGTAAGACCGAGGGGATAGCCCCAGGCTTGGCAAGAAAGACCATGTGCGGTCCGTGGCATAATGGCAAGACTATGTTTGGCACATAATACCTTACTTGATTATGAATGTGTTTGATATGTATGGCTCACAGTATGTATGGCATGTACGGCCCAATTGATATGTATGGTATGTGGTAATTTGGAAACTCACTAAGCTTCGTGCTTACGGTTTACAATTTTGGTTTCAGGTACCTTTAGTTTTCAAGAAAAAGGAGCTTGGACGATCGCAAGGCATTCACCCATGTTATTCCGTATTATTTGATCTTTGGGATTAAGCTCTGACATTTGTTTTAATTAAAATGTTTTCGATGTCTGGAACAAAGTTATTATCGGTTTCCTTGTATTAAAAATGAATTTTTTGACCTTAAATTTTAGGATGTTACAAATTATATATAAAAAAAAAAGTTCTAAATTAAAGTCGAAACGTTGATCATCTTGAATTATACCAACAAATATATAAAATAAACACGAAAAAAATAGTGTTTTTAGGTTGACAAACGGAAGTTATTAATAAAAATCAAATTATATATAATACGGAGTCAAACATGAAAATTTAGAAAATAAAAAGATAAAAATGACATTTTTCAAAGTACAAAGTAATATTTAAAAAAGTAAATTGATAGAAAAGCCACAAACTCATAAACATTAAAAAAAATACATAAATGATCCCTATGGTTTGCTTGTACTTACAAACTTAGTTACTGCTACTAGAAAAGATCAAAATACTCTCATATTAATAGATGAATAATAACGGTGTCAGTAAAAATGTTATTCAAGCATGTTATGTGCATAAAAAAAAAATAATAATAACTAAATTTGAAACCTCTAGTAAACCATAAAAACCATTTTTATAGTTTTCGCTTTATTTGAAACTTTGGTCACAAAATTTTCTTTAATTTGAAAATTTAGTCACCAAACTTTCTAAACTTTCATATATCGGCACTTTTCACAATCATCCGATTTGCCACAAAAGTATTGAATTCCAAAGACAAAATTGCAAAAATGGTCCCTGTGGTTGGCAAAATTCTGCAGTTTTGGTCCAAAAAAGTTTGGTGGTGCATCAATGGTCCAATTTTAGATCTTTTTAGTGTTTTTGGTCCCTATACACTTAAAAGGACTATTATACCCTTTAGATTTCTATTTTCTATTTTTTTAATGTTTTTAAATAATTAAAGATACAAAAGGTCTCTCTCTCTCTCTCTCTCTCTCTCTCTCTCTCTCTCTCAAGAGTACCCACCAAATGCCACCCTCTCAAGAACTCCCAACATATCCCACCATCGTTCACCACCAAGATCCATCTGCTACCAACGACGTTCACCACCACCATCTGTCTGCCATCATCTCCATTTACCACCACCATCCGCCTGCCACCGTCGTTGCTCTCCACCATCCGCTTAAGAACACGCCCAAAATCTTTCTTTATCTTTCCTCCTGCCACTATCTCCATTCCCCAACACCATTCGCCGCCAACCACCTCCATCTCCCCCACCCCCACATCTCCTTCCTTAACCTGATAAGCTTTCACCACCAACCACAAAACCATCGGTCATTAGATTTTTTCTAGAAAACCCTACTATATGCCTTTCCATCCCAGATCTTGCTGGAAAAATCAAACCAAAAGCTTGGTCGAGCTCCTCTAACTTCTCACCATCCACAAAGACCCGAAAAATCGGAAAATCGATGGTTTTAAAGAAGAAGGTGAGTGTTGAATGTGGCTTGATGTTGATTTTGTTGTCAAATAGTCAATGTGGCAGAAGGTGGATTGAAAGGAAAATATGAGGTCGATGGTGGTAGCGCATCCATCAGCCTCCCAAATTAGCCAACAATCACCACCATAAACACTCCACCGTTTTCTTGATCACACGACAATAACCACCAATCACCTCCCAAATTAGCCACCAATCACCACCATAAATTGACATGACATCTCTATTTAGAACAAAGAAAAAGAAACGGGAGGTAGGTGTCGATCAATTGTGAAAAACAAGAGACGTGGGGTGAACCAAGGCGATATAAGGCAAGAAAAAACCCAACCTCTCCGATCACCTTCTTTGTCTTCAGATTTTGAGATAATTTCCAAACCCCGACCCTTCATGTTCGTCTCCTTCTTATTTAGAATAAAAAACTGTGGAGATTTGGGGTTTTTGTTACAGGTGTTCAGATGTAACGGTGGCACGATGGTTGTCGAAGAAACAGATGTGAAGGGTGGTTATTGGTGGTGCGAAGGAGAAGCATGGGACGATGAAGCCTGCAATATTGATTCGGTAGAGAACGCCTTCAAGAACGAGTTGGTTTTCGTTTTGATCTGGAGGATGAGAGAGAGAGAGAGAGAGAGAGAGAGAGAGAGAGTGTGTGTGTGTGTGTGTGTGGTGGGTTTATTTTATTTTTGTTTTTCATTTTATTATAAGAATAAGAAAAGAAATTAAAATATAATTATTTAAAGGGCATATTAGTCATTTTAGGTGGGATGTGGACCAAAAACACAAGAAAATACAACCATAGGGACCAAAACCACACAATATATCTAAAATTGGACCAGTGGTGCACCAACATTTCGTTTTGGACTAAAAGCACATAAATTTGCCAACCACAGGGACCACTTTTGCAATTTTGTCAATTCCAAACTTTGGCCATAAAAATTACTTATGTTTGAAAATTTCATCCCTAGATTTTCGTATGTTAGCACTTTCCATCTCGTAATCATCCACTTTACAAAAGTAATTCCTACATTATTCTTCTTTATTCACAAACCACCCACCATTTATTTCTTTTATTATTTTGGTTTTAAAAAGATACAACGTTTGACACCTAAAATATCATCATTTAGGCGTATTTTAATTTTATTTTAAATATGAATTCCTTTAGTTTTTTTTCTTTTTTTGGAATTTTACATTTTTTTTCATGGTTTTGTATATTTTTTGGCGAAATAATACAACATTTATTGCAAAAAATAATTTTTTGATGATTTCTTATATATTTTTTTACGAACTAGCACGCATTTATCCCTCTGAAAATTTACATCTAAAATTTTTGCACCAACGCACGAAGGATTTAACCCTAGACCTGACAATGGGCAAGTTTGGAACGAATCTATATTGATCCAAACCATTTTAACAAATTTCAAAACCCAATCCAAATTTGTTCCGTAACCCATAGAGTTTTGAATAATCAAACCCATACAATTATCCACCGAATCAGCATATATTCAAACCCACCCCGTAATCCGTAGGTTTTTTAAATAATCAAACACATTTTACTTAAATCATAAAATCACATTTGATAAATAAAACAAATGTTGATTTAGAAAACACATTATGTACTCGAAGAGTTTCGATTGAAATTAAAATCATTATTATGGTTACTTCCAATTGGTTTTTGACCATCGAGTGCATTGATAGAGAATAGCAATTACAAACTTTCTTTCGGTTGATAAATGAATTTATTGATTTATAAATGGGTGATTACATGATGAAATCTAAATGAAATGACATCGTGATTCTTGGAAGAAGACTGGAAGTCTAGAATTTGAGTCATTAAGCCCTATGTAAAAACCGCTTAACGTTTGGCCTTTTCACTTTGAACTTTCGATCGGAATTTAAAGTAAAAATTTAGGCTGTATAAAATATAAATGAATAATTCTAAAATTTATATAGGATGGGTTATAAATGGAGCAGAGCGGTGATGATCCATACCCGACCCTTTTAATAAAAGAGTTAGCAGGTACGGATCGTTAACGGGTAAACGGATCAAAAACTATGTTTTAAGCTCGTATTATTGTTAAGGGTTTGTGTCGGATCAGGGTTAAAATCCACTCCATTGCCAGACCTATTTAATCCTATTTTTATTTAATATAATTGGTTTGTAAATGTAATATCGTTTTAAAAAAGAAATACATAGTTACGGAAACGAAAATGGTATTAAAAGTTGTAAAACTATTTTTTCAAAAATGCCTTAAGTGAAAACGTATATAATTCGGATATTATTTATTCAAAACAACTTTTATATATATATATATATATATATATATATATATATATATATATATATATATATATATATATATATATATATATATATATATATATATATATATATATATATATATATATATATATATATATCCAGGTTCATTTGAAACCATTCTAATTTTGTGAGACTGGTTAGACCAAATCTAAAAATAATTTTAAAATGCAAAATAAAAAAAATCCAATTTTTTTTTTAAATATTATTTTCGAAACTTGAATTAACTAAAAATATAAAAAAATGTGTATCACGGTCTCACAAAATTAGATCGTCTCATATATATATATATATATATATATATATATATATATATATATATATATATATATATATATATATATATATATATATATATATCCAGGAGTTTGAAAAAAAAAATTAGATTAAAGAAAAACTACAAAAAAATACTAAGTTTTCAACAAAATTCGATTTTGACACCACTTAATTTTTTTTCTTACAATTAAGACACTAAAATTCACAAAACTACATTTTCTAAATTGTTTCGTTGTTGATCTTTTAACGGTTCAACCCAACTAACAACTCTCATGGTAACATTACTTATCCAATATCAAATTACTTATCCGATATCAAATGACATCGAATCTTTATAAAAAATTAATGTTGTTTTTTTTGTGTGTGTAATTTGCGGAAACATTACTTATTCAATATCAAATGACAACTCAATATATTTAGGTAAATAAATATTTTTAATATTTTTGAACATTTAAAATAAATTATATATGATTTGGAATCTCAAAATCCAAATAGTTCAACACCAATCTTCATACGAAATCATGCATAAAAATATATATATATATAAAAATGAATCGATGTTATCTCAAACTAAAACGCCAAAACACGAAGAATCGGAGTAAACATTACACACCTGATTGTAGAATTTTCAACACATCTTTCAAACAATTTAGAAGTATAATGCATCGCGCCAAATCCACACTAAAACAATGAGGCGAGAACCATAAATAATACGCCGAAGATGGATCTACAGGCAGCGGTGGAAGCGGAGGAGTGATTGGAAGCAGCCACCGTGGAAGAGGGAGGAGAAGGAAGCGGAAGTACACGAATCGTGACTTTCATACCGTTAAAACAACCGCCGGTGCCGCAGATGAAGTAGTAGCGCTGCGATTCGTTGAGAAGAATGAAATCCTTTCCACTGCTCCAGTTCCCTACGGCGCCGTCGAGAGTGCAGTTGTCGTAACCGGTTTTGTTCACCTCAATCACATTGTACTGCGTCTTCTGGTACCTAAATGCTACAGTAGAAAGTATCATCCATTAAACAGGAGCGAATTTCAAAAATTACAAGCATCATTAGAAAAGTAATACATACAGATGAAGTCTCCAACATAGAAAGTATGATTGTTGGCCCAGAGAGTGTAGTTGATGCCAGGATTCCAACCACGGTTGGCGCCTACAATATGATCGGTGGCGGAGACGGTGGTTGCAGCGGCGGCGATAAGGAGGATATAAATGATAAGGCGTGAGATGGACATCATTGAGTACTGCACGCACTCAGTGGTACCACTGCCAGCTATCCATTAAGTGTGTTTTCTGTTTCTTCAAATATAGCAAAGCTGAGGGGTCCATTCATAAATCTATCTACTTATTTTTCTTTATCCTATTCTTTAAATTTTAACTTTTCGTTTTAACTTTCTAGTTTTAAACTTTTCGTTATCCGTTTTTGTTTAAAACCTTAAAATTTAGAACTAAAAAAAAAATTGCTTTCCGTTTTTTGTTTAAAACTTCAACATAAAAAACTAAAGAGTTGTTATCTAACCTACCAAAAAAAAAAAAAAAACAAACAAACTTATTAAACAAATATCATCTTCAGATTCTTGTTAAAAACCTTAAAATATACCTCATATATTTTATTATTTATATTTACTGAATTGTTTCTGATAGGTGCTAAACGCATAAATGCAACCATTAAAACGAAATATTGGTGATTCCTTGATAATTAATCACCACGAAAAAAAAAAACGTTTTAGGTTTAATTTTTGGGTACTTTGGTGCTTAAAAAAAATATAAAAGTGTAGTTAAATTACCAATTGTTCGATATGTGACATAGAAATTTACAATTAGTTTATGCAATTTGTATTTGTTTACAGCATCTAGTTATAACAGAAGTTTTTTTTTTTTTTTTTTTTATATTTTATTATTACATAAAAAAATTGAACTAAAGTATGATACTATATAAATATAAATATAAATTAATTTAAAAGAGAAAAATAGGTGCTTAGTCTTTAATAAAGTCCAAAAGGGTTGGAATAAATAAAACATGTAACATGTGTTTTTCATAAAAAGAAATTAGAACACTGTTTAATGCATCAGGAAAGCTCTTTCTTTTGCATAATTGCTCACCCTCACTTCAAAAAATGGTTAATTTAAAAAATAACAGTGTCCCACTTGGATTACTTTCCTTTTCATCCATAAATGGTTGATTTACTTCAAAAAATATGTTCCATTGAACTCATTTACTTAAAGTATTTGACTTTCCAAACATTTTAGAATTATTTTAGTTAAAAATCGACAAAATACAACATTATTAAACTGCTTAAAAACCCCCAAGCAAGGTCACAACAGTCAAAAAGAGATATTATGCATTGCAAGCTCACCAAGCAGAATTTTCTTTACAAGAGAGCTTCAGTTTAACTTGAAAAGATGTTCACACCAATTACACTTATGTGAATATATATATATATATATATATATATATATATATATATATATATATATATATATATATATATATATATATATATATATATATATATATATATATTCGTGTTCATAATCCCATTCATCAAAATCTTCTACAATGGCATCAATCTTTTATACCTGAAAAACCATAAAAAAGAGCAAAATATGATGATTCCAGTTACCCCTGTAATCACCAATACCCATGTAAACGCGGATGGGTTATCAAACAATGGAATCATAAAATTCATCCCAAATATCCCCGCCACCACCCCAAAGATTGCCACAACAAACGTTGCAGTCGTCAACAACAGCTCAAACTGTATCAGCTGGTTCCGCACATTATCCTACAAATCCAAGGGCAAAATGGTCATTTACTCATATATGGGTGTTTCTTTTTCACTTAAGCCAAAAAGAACGACTTAATAGAGAAAATCAGGGAAATAAAGTTTTCCCCTTAAAAGAGGAAATATACCAGTTGGATGTTGATGAAGTCTTCGGTGTCATCAATGTATTCCTTCAGCTGGTAGAAGACAGAATAATATCAAATATTTTTCAATCATCTAGAGAGCACTGAATGAAGTTTTAAAAAAAAAAAAAAAAAAAGTTATTGAATATTACCGATGTCAACTTATTGAGACTGCTATCAATGACGACAAAATAAGCTTCTAGAAGCATCTCCAATTCCTCAATGTTCTCAGTGCCACTTTCTGAACTCCTCATACTACTCCTTGCAAGGCTTCTTGCAAGGCTAACAGTTTTTTCAAGTCTTCGACTTTCTGGAGGTGAAGAAACAGGAGAAACTGGAGCAGAGATGGATTGGGTCCCATCATTTGACCTGTATCCAATCACAGACTGATCTCCAACACTGAATAATGAATCCATTCGCCTTTTCTTCTCAGTTAGGTACATCTCAGCCATATCCCCATCATCATCCATTAGCTGCTCTATTTCATCTCTTACCTATAATTGTATTCCATTCAAATGAGTGTCAAAATAATTGTGATGAATTCAAAGACTAGTATATAGCAATAGCACCTTCTGGACCCTTCGAGTCAATGCAACAAGTCTGCTTTTCAGTCTACGAACACGTTCCAAGTTTAAAGTGCTAATCTTTGATGTAAGTTCATCTAGCAATGGATAAGCTTCAATTTCTAATTCTGCTGCCTGATGAGAGACAAATTCAAAGAAAGATTGTATCTTTTAGTTCTGAAACGCTTTAATACTTATAAATCGTAACAATTATTGGTTATAAGACAAACCTGTGTATCCAAAAAAGTACAAGCAGCCTCAAGAGCAACTTCTAGAGCCCTAAACTCAAAGGGCAAATAGTCAGGTGAAGTGTTACCAAACATGTCCCCTAAAGATCTATTTGAATTTCCCATACGTCTGTTCAACTCTGCCCCTTCTGATTGCCAAACCTCACCACCCCCTGCAGCTTTTAATCGTCTTTGTAATTCCACCACATATTGTAACACGTAGCTATCAAGAGAATTCAAAAGTAGAACTTCATCTGCTGTTATAATGCAACGAATCTGTTCCAAATTTACAACTATAGCCTTCTCTCTTCCAAGAATCGTTGAAGGGTAGACAAATAATGGATCGAGTAAGCGAAGATCACGTGCAGGAAGATCACAACGTCTCATTATTGTGAACTTGTCAACTTCAATGACTTGGGAATCACCAGTTGCAGCATCAACACGGATCCATGAACGAAGACCTTGACCACGTTTTTTTAGGCCTAAAACATCTACCCCTTGAAAAGGCTGGCGACCTGATGCAGATGGCCTGTATGATGCATCTCTGAGGTTTATGGCTGATGCAGGTTTTGGTGGGAGGAGACGCTCTTTTAGGTCTGCCATTAGAGAAGTCTAACTGCAGAAACATGTGTTTGTAGCGTAAGAGACAAAATTTATCCAAGAAAAACCTGATGCCCATAGAATTGGTAGAATATCGGGGAATTTGTTTTCTTTGATAGGTGCACAAAATGTAACCAATAAGCATTGATTACAAAAAACTTAATTTTGTCTCTTCGATAAGAAGCCAAGAAAAAGGAAAAATAGGATTAGAATGGTGGAATCATTCTTAGAAGACTTGAGAAATTGTGAAGTTACAGCAGCAAAATTTGGCAATATTGGTCCACTTTGAAATTGATGCGTCACATCGACTTACTACAAGAAGTAATCATTAATCAAACGTTTTTTTTCAATTGATTTGCCATTAATTTTACCTAATTTTGACTATTTGTATATGCTCGTACATTCACTCAAGTTTTCCCATTACGATTGTAGTTCAAATGCAAAGAATAGGTGATGAAACTTGAAGTAATATTCACAAACAGAAACTGTAAGAGGACTAAGATTGCATTAGCAGTTCTCGATATATTCGATTTTGATTAAGCAGATATATCTATTTCAAGCCACTCAATGAAACGAACGATAAATCAACTCGAATCGAGAACAGAGAACATCTAATAAGAAAAACTGAAAGGAGAAGAGGAGATCACTTACTTCCCCCACTTCCCCCAACGAATAATTAGGGTTTCAATAATCAGAAAACTCAATTACAACACTTCACGCAGTTCACGGTAATCAATCAAATCTGAAAAAGGGAACATACAAAGTATTCAAATCAGAAGTTCAATTCAAAGAACAATACATCCTGACATATATATACATACACAAACAAAAAAAGCATCAGTATTAATGGACTTACAGATGCATGTATCATTGTATTGTATTGAATGCAAATAGTCTTCGCGTCAAAGCAATAATCAATGGTATACTGAGAAGTACAGAAAGTCTGTTGCCGACTATAAAAACACCTACATATACATACTTTAGTGTGTGTATCTATGCGCGGAAGAAAGCTATGGTTGGAAGCTCCAAGCCCATTAATTTGGAGCGTGATATGCTTCGAACCATAACCAAACAGATTGCCCCCCGGATTTTTCTAAATGATAGCATGCCTGATTGCGTGTGATGGGGTTTGTTAAACGCCGTCGTACTAACGGTTCCACCAACCTTTTAAAATCGCTGCCAAAATAATTATTAATATTACCTCTGTAAAATCGAAAAACATAGTACAAAATATTTTCAGTGCTTAACATATGTTGTACTCATTTAATGTGTATCATGTGATATAAAATTTAGGGGATAAGGATTTTACCTTCAATTTGTTTAATTTCTACCTTCAATTTGTTTAATTTCTTATGATCAGCCACTCCAGATAAATAAAAAAAATTATTTAATAAGGTAATATATTTATCACTTTTATACATTTAGTTCTTAATATATATATATTTTTTTACATTTAGTCGTTAATATTTTTTTGTTGCAAAATAAGTTATTGTTGTTTTTATATACATTCAATAGTTATGAACATTTTTTTTAGGTTTTCCTCATGACATCCTACGTGGAACATTCATTAACGATTTATTCGGGGTTGTTCATTTTATGGTCATTGGTATCTCGGATTTTTATGATTTTAATATCCAGACATCCGTATTTATTATGAACTGAACGTCGTAACTTCTTCATATGATCTCGGATTTAACGATTTTTATATTCATGCGTTCGTATTTGAGTCTACTACAACTTTCGTTTAGATTACTCCCGTTAAAATGTAATATATATTTTTACTTATAATCTTTATATAACATGAGTTCTTTATGAATATATGTAAATAGAATATATTACTTTTTAACGATAGTAATCTAAACGAAAATTGTAATAGATCCAAATATGAACGTGTGAATAAAAATATCGGTAAAATTTGAGATCATATGAAGAAGTTACGACGTTCAGAACAGAAAAAATACGAATGTGTAGATATAAATATCGTAAAAATCCGAGATCGTATGAAGTTACGACGTTCAAAACACAAAACTTAAGCAACCAAACAGTTGAGGTCGCGGTGGTTATACACATAAGTAGTCCCGAATACCTTATTAATGATTGATTCACATAAAATGTCGTGAGAAAAAACTAACAAATTGTTCATAAGTACTGAATGTGTATAAAAACAATGATTTATTTTGCAACAAAAAAATATTAAAGATTAAATGTGCAAAAAAATATTAATGAAAATGTATACAAAGTGAGAAATATATTACCATATTAAGTCATTTGTTCCTGGTTTACATGAAGTAACAATCATAAGGACCGAATGTGTACAATTAAACAAGTTAAATGAGCAAATGTTGACGAAAAATCTCATTAACCAAATATATACAAATCAAAAAAATATATTACCCTTTTAAATTATTATCCCTAAAATTTATGTAGAATGATAAATAAGTTTGTCAAACGATATACAAACTATTTAATCACACTAAACTATCTAATTGCAACTTTAAAATACCAAATAACATTTAACGTTTTTTAGATTGTAGAGTAAATTACACGAATGGTCCCTATGGTTTGGGATAATTTGCACGTTTGGTTCCTAATTTACTTTTTTAACTCGGAAGGTCCCTACTGTTTGTTTTTGTTACGCGTTTGGTCCCTTCTATTTGTTTCTGTTATGCGCTTGGTCCCTGTTTTACCTAAAAAGACTATTATTTGAATATGGAAAAATGATGGGATAAGTAGGGTAAGGTGAGGGGAGTGGTGTTGAGAGTGTGTTTATTTAAATAAATTAAAAAATCAGGGGCAAAATAGTCTTTTTAGGTAAGATAGGGACCAAGCGTGTAACAAAAACAAACAATAGGGACCTTCCGAGTTAAAAAAATAAGTTAGGGACCAAACGTGCAAATTACCCTAAACCATAAGGACCATTCGTGTAATTTACTCTAGATTGTAAAATTAAATGTCCATATATATATATATATATATATATATATATATATATATATATATATATATATATATATATATATATATATATATATATATATATATATATATATATATATATATATAAAGATCATAATATTACTAAACCCGGTAAAATCTTATAAAAATATTTATGGTCTCCACTAAAAAACCATTTATTTATATATAATATGATTTATCATTATTGTTTTAATTATATGTTTGGGCTTTTTAACTGAGCAATGATAAAAATTGTATATTTCAATTAGTAATATTAACTTTAACAGAGTAAATTAGTAATTATGGTTTGTAGAAGAGAACTTATGTGAAAAGAATAATAAGTGATATATTTTATTAGTGATTTAATTAAAGGAGAACATATGTGAAAAGAATAATTGATGATGTATTTATCATTAATATAAACTGAATCAAAGTAGAATATAAAATTAAAGATATATCATACATTGGATTTTTTCAAGTTAACTATATATATATATATATATATATATATATATATATATATATATATATATATATATATATATATATATATATATATATATATATCATTTTTTTTTTGATAAATGACATGTTTGGGCATGTCAATACTTAAGTTAAGTCGTAGTTACTTTTTTTCATCAATTGGGTTGGATAATTTGGTAAAGACATATGGAATGTATGATGGATAACCAAATAATCCATGTTCAAATTATAGCACTATTCAACCATGTTACCATAAAAGTTCGTTTACAGTGACTCCAAAGCATAAGACAACCTTATGTTTACAACGGTGATTAGTCAATACGTAAAAGATGACTATGAACCCTCGTTAAAGAAGTTTCATTTTGGGTCTTTTGGTATTGATTCATCTAGTATTTAAGATTGTAATTATTGACATTAGGTTTAATAAGATGGCTATGAACCCTCGTTAAAGAAGTTTCATTTCCAAAAAATTTCATGTTGGGTCTTTTGGTATTGATTCATCTAGTATTTAAGATTGTAATTATGGACATTAGGTTTAATAAGATGGCTATGAACCCTCGTTAAAGAAGATTCATTTCCAAAAAAATTTATGTTTGAGATTGTATACTTATTTTATGTTCTCAAATGTTTTCATTGGTTGATTATTTTTTGTTAGATAATGACAACCTCAAATATACGAGGCAACCTTTGAGCTCAAAGGCAATTCCAAATCTTACAATAGACACATTGAAGAAATCGAGAGCTTGATAAAAGAGTCTTGAGGAGATGTTTAGACCGATGTGTTTAATCAATGGTTGGATTTCTCGACCCATTGTGAAGACCTACTCAACATCGATCATATGTTCTAGACTCATTTCTAGCACCTATACTTGCACTCGGTTAGGAAGGATTTTGTATGTTGTTTAGTGCAATGGTTGTTTTATCGGCGTCTATTATTATTATTATTATTATTATTATTATTATTATTATTATTATTTTTATTTTGTTGATGTATGACTATTAGATCTTTTTTGTTTTGAAAAATGGAATTTAAATTATTTCCCATTAATTTAACGTCTTTGTTTTGTTTCTTTATGTGGCACCACTTTGCAAACACTATGCAAAACATCCTTGATCGTTTTCTCTCAGGTAACAATATTCACATAAAGAATTAGAACGACATATTGTCTTAGAGTATGTTTCTTCCTTGATGTCTCCTTTATAAGTGAGAAAAGGTTTAAAGTTTTATATAACAATCGTAACATTAATATAACCAATAACAATCTTTTGTATAAAAACTTATAAAAAAAGGTAAGAAGTGATATATTGGTATTGTTGCGGTATAGTTTTGTTAATTCTCTTTTACGTGTTCAAGTTGACACGCGGGCCATTCTTTGACCCAGCCATTTATTCTAGTTGCAACTCTTATTTGATATAGATTTACATACATTATCAGATATATTTTCTCTCTAGTCTCCTTCATATATTTAGATTAGGGTTTTATAGTTTGTGTTAGGGTTTGCTGTAACGTCATTAAGATAGGGCTAGATGATTAAAAAATAACAAAATAATTATTCTTCATGGCAAAAAAATAGGTGTTTTCAATAGACGATTATTTAGAGAAAATAATCTAAATAAAAGTCACAGTATTCGTAAAAACGAACTTGATAAAATAGGAAAATCCAAATCTGACTTTAAAAGGGGAAATTATGATTTTTTGAAAGTTTCAGGATAGTTGTTTTAGCACAGAAACCAAAATTCAAATCGGTCGATTGTGAGAAAAAATAATCTAAACGAGAGTTCAAGATCTCTTCAATACTAGTCCGTCGATATAAAGATAGTCGAGAACAGATGTCGTATGAAAGAGTTATGATTTTTACACGAACTTTGACAATTTAAGCCCATTAAAAATATAACTTTAAAAATAAGTGGAATATTAACATACGGAGTCTAAACGAAAGTTGTAGATCTCATCGATAGCGACGTGTGGATATTGTAACGCTTTGTTTCGAATTGTTTCCCATTTTGGGGATGGTGATCACAGATTGGGTATTAGCAGGCTTTAGACCCTTGAGGAATTGAGTTTCAGACTCGGTTGGGGTTGGATAATGTAATTTGGATGTTTCGGGGTATTCGGTTTGTGTTTTGGAGTCAAGGGCATTTTGGTAATTTGTTAGCATGGGATTTTATGGAAAGTGGATGTTCGTTCGGGATATCTTATGGTAAGTATTAGTGGATAATAGTGTAGATCTTCTCGATATCTTTTCATGGATATAAGGATGTTCGGAATCGAAGTTGTATCGAGAAAGTTATGGCCTTCGGAAGGAATTAGGGTTTAAGGGAAAACCTTAGTACGTGGGGCGTACCAAGGTGGTACGTGGGGAATACTGATGTGGGAGGGTTACGTCGTGCGTAATGGAGTGTACGCGTAGCGTACTTCGGAGTTAGGATCAGGGTGCGAAACCTCATACGCTGGGCGTACGAGGGTTAAAGGTGAAACCCTAATTTTAGCACTTGTACCCTATAAAAGCTTTATGATATCCCCTTTGCTTCATTTCTAAGTCCGAATCCACACTCCAAAACCCTAAATCGACTTTGTAGCCTCTTGTAGGTGTTCTTGAGTTATTGGGAGACTTTGATGCTTATTTTTACCCTTGGGAAGGAAAAAAGAGAAGCTTGAAGATGTTTTGCTTGGTGGAAAAGATTTGGATCCAGGATCATCACCTTGTGGGGAAGCCTTTTGAGGTATCAAGTTTGTAGCTTGATTTGTGTATGATTAGATCTCTTCATGGCTAGTTTTATGATTTTGATCTTCTTTTTGAGATTATGGATGAGTTAGCTTGTTTAAGGGTTCATCCTTTCAGATCTGAGTTTGTTTTG